CCGGCCACCATCTTGGCTGGCAGTTAATTTGCATATTGCCCTGATTAGCCAATGGGAAGGGTAGCGGTCGTACTAATTACCATGTTTCTCTTTTATTAGATAGGATAGAGAGAGAGAGAGAGAGAGAGAGAGAGAGAGAGAGAGAGAGTAGTGACAGTTTTTAAGTGCCATTAGATCTATGGACCTATATTCTCAAATACTTATGTGGATGCAGGTTAATTGCCCATATAGATTGCACAGAGACAAGTGGGCTCCTCAGAATTGTTTCAGGATATGGCTAGTATGGCAGGCATGTGTCAGGGGTCATGGAACATGCATGCTCTGTAAAGTGATTCTCATTCTTTTTTGTGGGGGAATGATAATCAGTAATTGACTTTGGTTTGAATGGAGCATTTTTAAATGGTAAATGAGAGATAGCATATTAAAGTTAGAAGATCCTATAGTCATGAGATTTGGGTTCTAATTCTATATTATTGTATTTTAAAAAGATTCCCAGGTGATTCCAATGTACAGCCAAGGTTGAGAACCACTGCTCTAAATCAATATACAAATCTTTAAAAGTTTTGAGAATATTTTTTTCCACTGTGGGTTTTCCAGATTTTTTCTTGGTAATTCTTCTACATTAAATAAACACAGTACCTTCATTCCAATGGCTGTCTGTGACCACTGGACAACTAAAAGTGATACATTAATTGCTTTTCTCAGATAACAAATCAAGGGGTATTATTAGAATCATTTTAAAATTTCTCTGATGAATGGATCCCCATTATGGCTAAATTATGTACAGAGATTAGCAATGTGGCCGTTTTATTGGGAGATTATCTTTACATTATTTAGAAAATAAATAAATCATACAAATTAAGCTCTTTAGATATAATCTTAAAATTATTTGCCAGACATTGATTAAGATTCTACGAAATAGCTTAGTAACATAATATACCATGATTAAACAATAAGCCAAGTAACAAGCAACCATTGTAGTTTTTTTTCCATTATTTATTGCATCAAGGTACAGAGTAAATACTGTTCTTTATGAAATATCTTAATTAACATAGTTCAGAATCAGCTACACTCTTTTGTTTAGTCAATAGACAAAAAATGGCATAAATTAGCTTCTCTCTGCCTAAGAAGAGTTATATATTTTTTCTTTCAGTAAGTTCACAGAGGTATTTCTCCCCAAGTAAAAAGATGTAATTTCCTCAGGGCATGAATTCTGATGATCAGAGAAGGAAACTGAACCAAGAATGGTGTATGCACAACACTTCTAACACTTTCTCATAATGATACCATTAGAATGCCAAGATCCTGATATTATCCTCAGTGTCTCAAACAATCCCCTAAAATCTATATTCTGTGTATAAAAAGTATGTTACATTCAATTTTTATTCATATTGACTTCAAAAGCTGCTGCTGGGAGGAGACAAGAGTGGAGGCAGGGATATAACCCAGGAGAGTATGTAGAGTGAGACAAGACAGGGGGCTGAAGACAATATGTGGGAGAACAACCATTTCTTAAGGCATGTGCATGGAGACGGTGCTGACAAAGGGAAATGTGAAAGGGAGTCAGAAAGGTAGGAGGGAATAAAGAGAATAGGATGAGCCAGAAGCCAAGAACAGCTGGATAGAAAAACCCAAAAAACCATAGAAAAACATTGACACAAGTAGTTGAGGGTTATTCCTGTGAACCCTAACATAAAAGCAGATGGGGAGAAACCATCATAGCCATGACACCAAGAAGGTATCACCACCCATGGGTGAGAAAAGCAGAGGAATCAATGGGGCATCTAAAAGACCCCAAAAGAAGAACTGCAAAATAGTCAATA